CTACAAATTATGCAAACTGAAATATTAAATGGATGAAGTGATTTTCTAACAGAACTACTTAAAAATCCCCAAAGTCTAAAAATTCTGGGAATTAGAAAGAAGAAGTGGTAAAAACGTATGCTGCTTACACAGCAACTTTATGATTCAAAAAAGTAGAAACCAATCTTTCACAACCTGTGTACGGTTTCTTTGATGAAAACAGTAGGCTTGAGGGATAAAAAGTGCAATAGAGACTAACGCTCAGAAGGCAGAAAAACACTGGCACAATCATGGATTAGAAACATTCATTTACAACTTTTGAACAAAAACTCGACTACTATAGGAATTATGGACTTACCAGTGAAACGCTAAATTCTTTCAAAAACTGATGATAATCATGGCACTGTTCATTTGATTTCAAATCGCGCCGAATCAATGATGATAAAGTGTCCGAATTTAATAATACGCTCACTGAAAGCAAGCACCGCGCACACATCTGCAACAAGAACTATTCATTTTCCGTTTCTGTAATTCATTTATTGCATTTTTTAATTTACTACCCTTATTTTTTAGTATCATTTATTGAGTAGTCTTGTTTTTAATATTGTTTTTCTCCCACTTTGAATTTATTATTTTGGCTGATGTCTGCAGAGTTCGATTCTATCACGAGATAATAAATCCCTTTACGACTGTTACTTATTCCATCTCAATTACTACTGAATATCAGAAGCTAGCTTACTTCTAATTAAGCCCCAAAAAGGAGAACCATCGAAAGCCTCGCCCGAGGGTGATAGCTGTTGGAAGCTGTTACTTTTCCAGTTTACTTTCGAGTATTTCTGTATTACGAAGAGGATGAATAAGAAGGGCGCTTTGGCAAACATTACTAAACATAATTTATTCTTCTCACTGCAAGTGTAGGAGACACAAAATAAATTAAGAACACGATGGCTTGGTGCAGTGCTGATAAAATTTGGTATATTTTGACCTACAATTACAGGGTAAAATGGTAAAAGTCAGCTACACTACACATTTCACTAGTTTTTATTAATATTTACCCAAAAAATGACAAATATATGTTAATCCTTATTTTAGGCAGTAGTGAAATTAAATCTAATATATAAAGGAGACATGAGGGGACGTGAGAAGAATGCGATTTAATAAGCAAAAGGAATCAATACTTCCGGGAAAAAAACATGAGAAATGTCATGGAAATTTTGCATATTTAATTACTCCAGTCACTTTAGCATCCAATATGGCAGGCCACTGAATTTAATCGTTCTGCATGTTGCGCTCAAATAATAATATAACTCAACGCACAAGAGGTACCGATACTGAATTTTAGAGTGCAACTGAGAAACTTGCCTGTTTAACTTGTTCTTCTTCGTCATTTAAATGTAACACAATTGAAACAATATTGATAAGCAGCTGCTCCCTGTACGCATCACAACCACCGACACGCTGACCTAATTCACCGAATAAACTGAACGATACCGCACGCAGTGCACTGCTTTCCTGAAATTTCCTTACATTCATTTACATAATACATCAAAAAGCCCTACAAAAGCGATTGAAGGAATGTGATTAAACTAGTACTTCCGTTGAAATAATTCTGGTAGACATCAAGGACAGGCTCGGTTATTAGTTTTTGCAATAAGCTTTTGCGGTGTCTACCTGTTCGAAGAGCCAATATACAACAGGCATTAGTTTTTCTAAATAATTCGGCGCAGGTGCTCCAACACTGCGCAGCCCGCTTAATGGAAATGGGCCTGTGTTGTAAATTATGGACTGAAAATTCGAGTAATTCTTAAGAGCAGCCCGTCAGTTTGAATCCACAACCAATTTTACTTCAACTTTTTAAATTAACTGTATTTAATCTTTGTTCAAATCATCGACCAGGCGCTCTACGTATTCCAGCAATCTTACTCATCATCTGTTTCACTGACCGCCGCCTCATGTCAACAGGGAATAATATTGCTTTCTAACGAGCGCTGTTTGCCATACTGGTTACTTGAAACTTCGCATATGAACAAAAATCTTTTACTTCTGGAAACTTCACGCATTATGAAGAAATATCTGCTTACTAAGAAAAAAAACGTGCCTTTTCAAAGCAGGGACGCAACTTTAACAGCACATTCGACAAAATATTCTCTAAATGTGTATTCGACACTCGCGTCGAAAGTTTATTCAGTGCATTCACCGCTTCCATTGCAATCTGCAATGTTCTGAAGATTGCT